TGATGGGCACTTAGGCTGATTACACGTTTGCTCTTGTGAATTGTGCTGCAATAAACATTTGAGTACAGGTATCTTTTTGATAAAATGACCTCTTTTCTTTGGGTAGACCCCCAGTAGTGGGATTGCTGGGTCAAATGGTAAGTCTATATTTATTTCTTTGAGGAATCTCCATACTGTTTTCCGTAGAGGTTATAATAATTTGCAGTCCCACCAACAGTGTATAAGCGTTCCTTTCTGCATCCACACCAGTATCTATTGTTTTTTGACTTTTTAATAATGGCCATTCTGACTGGGGTAAGGCGATATCTCATTGTGGTTTTAATTTGCACTTCTCTGATGATTAATGATATTGAGCATTTCTTCATGTCTGTTGGCCATTTGTCTACCTTCTTTTGAAAAACATCTATTCATGTCTTTTGCCCACTTTTTAATGGGTTTGTTTGTTTTTTTCTTGCTGATTTGTTTGTGGGTCTTAGTTGTAGGACTAACCACAATCAGAACCTAGAATGGTTATCTAGGGAGACTGCAACTGCTTCCTCGGCTAAGGGGCTACAGTTCTGTACCTTTAGGACTTCAAGCTGACACCATTTGAAATTGGATTTTAGATAAGAGCATTTGTAACTAATACTGTGAGACTGTTACATTTTATTTCATTTGGGTGTCCAGCAGTGCTTTTGTTGTTCATTTATCCCAAAATGATAGAATAGAAATCCTGAAGAAAATGAAAAAAGAGAGAATGAGGGAGGGAAGGAAAGAAAGATTTTTCAGGAGGAAAAAACATTGAGGATACTGTGCAAGAAAAAAACACAATAGATATTCAGGTATTCGGAGAAATATTACTTTTTATTCAAAAGAAAACAGGTACATTTTTAACATACAAATACACGGTAGTTCAAATTTAATAGATGTAAGGGAGGTTTATTCAAGGAAGCAATGACACTGGTCATGATTTAGTAAAAGTCACTGAGCTAATGGCTATTTGAACAACAGCTTAGTATCTTTTGAGAATAATCTAGCTGATTCCCCTATGTAAGCGACTCTGTGGGGATGAGGGATCTGTTTTTTAAGTGTTTAAGTCAGATATTTGAGAGGTTGAAAAAATTTTAAGCTAATTATAAAAGTGCTATTGACAAAGTCTCTCAGACCCAATGATAGAGTCATATGACCTCTATTTAATATACATAAAGAATTACAGATAAAAAGCCATTTTGTAATGAAAGCTCTATCTACATTGGCCATTAATAAGTTAGTTAAAGTGATTTCTAGCTTAATTAGAGTGCTAAAGAATTTGTGGCCAGTTCTAATAGCATCGTTAGTGAAGAAAATGTACTGTTATCATAAACTAGAGAATCTGATTCAGGTATGGGAATTAATTATAATTATGATGCTTAATTTAAATGTGAAGTTAAAAGTACCCTTTCAACCTTAATCCAAACGTAATTCATTAACTAATTGATTATGGTGGGGGATTTTCTGATGTGGCTAATTGATTGAATAGTTACATGACTGAAAGTTACAGTTTTCATATCTGAAAGTAGACTTGTTTCAGTGCTAGGGAGGTATAGCATTGACTTTACTAGGCATATCACTAGTAATAACTTTTGTGGATATTTCATTGACTAAAAGGATCTGTGAACTTTGTTTCCCAGCCATCACTGCTGCTTGCCTCTCTGTCTGCTTTCTTGTGTTCATTCTCTGCCACAAATGATGGAAGCCAGATTGTTCGAAGTATTAGTTATTCTCCTAAGAAAAGAGAAAAGGGTGGTGTGTGTGTCTGTGTGTGTCCGTGTGTGTTGGTGGGTGTGTTGGGTGGATATATGATAGAGACAGGCTTAGCCTAAAGCAGAACTAGGTATAAAGTTGCTATTTGGGGGGTTCTGGCTTCTTCTTTCTGCATCTTGCCCTATCCCCAGCCATTACCTCCCCATCTCCCATTCAAGAAGGACTTCAGCATTAAGTGTTACCAATTTTTATATACCTGTTGGTATGTGAGCCATTCTTAAAGATCCCTTAGATTCATCTGTGTGCATAGTGGAGATGGCAATATTTTCATATCTTTCCCGAGGTGCAAAGCACCAGCAGTGGTGAATAAGCACCACCAGGTCCTTTTGGAAATTTTTGTTGAGAAAGCCATAAAAGAGAGGGTTTATACATGTAGAAACCATAGCAACCAAATGGCAAACTGCAAATGCCAGGTCATGGTGGCAGCTCATCAGCACCTCAGGATGCCAGTCAAAGATGACATTGAAGATGTTCAAGGGCAGCCAGCAGGCTCCAAAGGTTACCACGATGGAAATCAACATTGTGTTGATCCTCTTGTTCTCACTGAGCCGGCCATCATTTTCCCTCTTCCTGTTGACCTTCCCATTTCTCCTGCAGAGGCAGATGATAATCTTCAGGTAGCAGATGAGGATGAAGGCCAGAGGGACAAAATACTGGACCATAAACAGAGAGGTGGTAAAGAGGAGCTGGTTCATTTTGGAGGGCCAGTTCTCTACACAGGCCACCCGGTGGGCATAGAGGTCAGTGGGGAGAGAGAGATTGTGGAAGGGCTCATTGGTGAGTTGATAGGACAGGAAGAAGGGAATAGATAACAGAAGAGAAAATAGCCAAATCAATGTGATGCCCCAGTAGGCATGAGATACACTGGGCTTCCAGCCACAGGGGTTCACAATTAGCTGATGTCTTTCAACAGCAATTAATACAAGTGAGAATATGGATACAGAGATTGAGACACTTTGCACGTAGGAGGTTAGTTTGCACATGGTGTCCCCAAATATCCAGTGGTCCATCAAAATGTAGATGACAGTAAAAGGGATGCACATGACACACACCAGGATGTCAGAGAAGGAGAGATTGGCAATCAGTATGTTGGTGACATTCTGAGCTTGTCTCTGCTTCTTAAAGATGATGATGATGAGAGAGAGGTTTCCAAAAAGGCCCACAATTAAGACCATAGTATAGGCTATGAGTAATAGCAGTAAGGCTAGAGAAGGGGGTTGACAGGACTCAAAGTAAAAAAATGCAGAGTTGTTGCTCTTTGTGCTGGTTTTATCAGATGTTGGGTGGTTCAGGGAAGCTTCCATTATGTCAGGATTGTAAGAAGAGATTTTCTAAGCTTACTT